TAGAAATTTTCTCAGAACCTGCTATATTGTAGGTTAAATATTATATGTATTATGAGATTCAGTATCTGCTGGAACTAGAAGGAAATAAAACATTTACAGAAAGAAAAAAAAAAACACTGAGAAGTTTAAATCAAAGTATTAACTGTGGTGTTTCTCTGCATAAAGAATTATGGAATTGAAATAATAATTATGGACTGGAAAATACGAACACATGAACGTTTTTTATTTAGAAAATTTGTTCATATATCATATAAATTGCACTTGACTTTTATAAATGGATCTATTAAATCTGTTTAGTCCTATCTGTAGTATTAGGAGGAATGAAAGGATAGATACTACTACGTATTTTCAACTGTATGAAACTGTGCTCCTAATAGGAAGCTCCTTCATCATAGGTGAAGGGCAGATAGCTTTTTTTTGAAGGGTTAACATCTTCATCTAGTGCATGATGCAGCCAAGTAAAACTCCATTTACCTTATTAAGCAGTGCCAGCAAATAAGCATGAGGTAGCTCTACTGCCTCTCTTTTTCCTCTTCCTCCAAGCATAGTTCAAAAATAAAACCACTAAAATTGTACTATAAGGTTCCCAATTCTGTAGGTATATTGATAACATTTATTCTGGGCTTCAGCTGCATTTTAGTTACTGCTCTGGCTATTTTATGGATCCCCAGAAGGCTAAAGGAGGAGATAAACAACTCATTTTTCATTTGGTAGCAGTTCTGGAAATGCCCAGAAGTGTTAACTGTAACTGTGTTGGAATTTTAAGATCAGAGAGGAATTAATTTGGGGAAATGAGGAGGTCGCAGGGTGAATGGCTTTGGATCATAGCTTTAGATTAAGATCTCAGAAGCTTCTAAATCATCTTGTTTTATAGAATTAAAACCTTATTATCTGTCATTAACAATGTAAATCAAAGCAGAGAAGATGTCTTTAAAGAAGATGGCCTCCATTACTTCATTTTTTTCATGCTAGGACAGTAAAGCATTCATTGTTTCAGTTACAGCCAGGTCAATGATGAAGAAATTGCATAAAAATAAACTATGAATAATCCGAAGGCAGATTTCCAGCTGCTGCTCAACGTCTTCCTTCAATCTCATGAAAAAGTAAAGCTGTGTGCTAACAGTAATATATAGATGCATGTAAACAGGTATGTACATAAAAACACAACACAAGCTTTAGGCATCTTCAACTTTTTAATAAATACCTTATAATATCCTATATAAAATGCTATTATCAGAGGTATCAAAATTTAAATTATTTTAAAAGGTGAGCGCAAAAGCTGTACAGGTTGACTAGGATAATGGTGATGAGTTCACAATCAAGATCTTTTTTTTCTGGTGTATGTGCCCAGAAATTTTGAGTGCTCATTCAAGGAAAACAGTGTTCTTTTATGAAGTAGCATTTATTTAGTTAGATTTTACTGTTATTCAACTCTGATTTTTTTTCTTCTACTGATAGCTGTTGTGCTAATATCTATCAAAAAATGTAATTGCTTTTGGTGTGTCTGCATTGTGTTAGAACATTTTCTGGTTCCTTTTTTTTAATCAATTACAGAGACTGCATTTTTGACAGGGGGTAATGTCACATAGCACTTGGCTATACATATTAATATATTCCTTTGGAGAGTAGAAGCAAATCAGCTGTTTTTCTTCATTTATCTTACTGGGCTCTCAAAATACAGACTAAAAAGCATTCTCTCTAGAAAAGCCTGTAGAAACTTTAGTTCTAAGCTCTTCAGCATGATTTATTATGTGCACTTTTGAATACAGTTAAATAAATAAGGGTCAAGTAAAAATATGGAAATGCTATGCAAGTTTAATTATTGATAAAATTGTAATTAGCTTATGAAGCAGTTATGGAAAATTGTGCTAAGCACTAGTATGCATTAGAATAAATAATCCAAATAATGGAAAAGGAAAAGTTTTGGAGCAATATCATGACAAAGTACTCAGTTGATCAATCAGGAAACCCTTCGGAAGGGTCATCAGCCTTCCTCTCATCTTCTTTCAAGGTAAATGTGCTCAGTAGAACTGCTATTCTACAGTGTAAATTCCCTGATGCAAAGCTGAACACGGTGGAATGCGTGCTTGTACAAATTTTTATGAATGTTTATGTGTATGTATGTATATATCTGTACATTTTTTGTAAGAGCGTATCATTAAAAATAAAAATATAAATGACATTTCATTTTTACTGGAGCAGTGAGATAATAACTAGAAAAGATTGTTAATACTTATTAATACTTACCTGATATAGAACAAGGTCTTAAGTTCTTATGTATTTGCAACTACTATTATACCCCTACTCACTAAACTGTATCATCTTATAAGCTTGTAAATCCTCAATTTCAGACTGGTTTTGGGATGCTTCACCTATAAAATCTAGCTATAGTTGTGTCTGACTAGTCTTCATTTTCTCAATATGTTCTTTCCATGATGACATTAGTGTCTTCAGCTCTGAAATGCATTTTGTTGTCATTGTTGATAAGGAAAATGAACTCTTCACAGCTCTTCTGCTATAGCATATCTCCTAACTTTAGAACTAAATGTGTGTTAGTGGGAGGTGGTTCCTGTTCTCAGTTGTTGTTTTTTTTTTCTATCAGTATTATTTGGATAGATAAAAGGAAAGCTTTGCCAGAATACTGTGTAGGCTGGAAGTTGTATCTTGAAGAGCTTGCTAATGATGAATAAGTAATTTGCATCTGCCCTCATCACTCTATGATTCACCTCCACGTCTTCTTATCCTAAACTGCTTATTTCCTTTTCAAACAAGTGGACCAATGTGAGAGGCTTTAATCCAAAGTAATGATGACGCAGGCATTAGTTTTTCTTTCTGTAATGTATAGGTACTAGCAGAAAGGTAATCACTCATTAGAACAGATACTCATATCTCAAATTTAAAGTGATGCTTATTCAAAATTGTGTTGGTTTTTTTTTATTATTTTTTTTTTCCCCCAAATGAAGGCAAATTAAAGTAGAGATCTATACTTACACTGCAATATATGTATACATATACTAATCAAATGGAAATGCTTACATGGGAAATTGCAAACAAACTTTGAAATTGAAGTGTTAAACCAGAAGAGAAATTTCAAAGAACAGAAAAAATCACTCAGTTTTTAGGAATATACAATTCATCACATACGCTGTGTACTTTTTTCCATCAGTTCAGTTTTACATGAAAAAATTACAATATGAGTCCAAGTGAATAAAAAAAGAAATAAATAAACACAGAAGTATTTTTTGCAAATATTTTAAATGTATAAAGGCTTGTAATAATAAAATATTTTTATTTAGGCTGCCTTCTAATTTAGAATGGCAGATGGTTACTGCTCAATAGAGTACACATTGAAACCTGTTAGGGAGCAGTATGAGAAAGTGCTGTGGATACTCCACCTGTTTTAATCATATATGCATCTAAAATTTGATTAATTCTGCCCAAGACTGATATGTTAAAAAAAAAAAAAAAAATCAATTATGTGTTCTCAGCATGATCAGGAACATGAAAGACAAGAGTTAAATGGAACATAGAATACTTTGGATAAAAATAAATCTTTCTGTTAATAATTCAGCTAAAATGGTTTAAAAATTCTAAGGGAATCAAAGTACTTTTTTATGAAAATAAGGTTATTGGGCTTTGTAAACAATGAAGGGAAAATACCAGCTGTTTTGAAATTTAAAATTATAATCCTTCAATTTTAGGTCATTACAATGAATTATAAATAAGTTTCAAAAGTATTGACACAAAAATAAGATTTTTGAAACTCTAAGCACTTGATTGTGTATTAAATTTTTATTTTAATTTTTACTTAGCCTGAAGCAATTTTCCTTTTCAATTTTTGTAAGAGCAAGTGAACAGCAAATGCCAGTAATCATACAGTTCTAATGATGAGTTTTTCGTCCAGATTCATTTCAGCATTCCTTTTAAAGAAAACGTAATCTTAGTGTGCTACCAGTTGACCAGAGGTGAGCTTGAATGTACATTGGATCGTTGTGAAGATGGCATGACTAGTGTTTTCTGTAACAAAACCAGCAATGTAAACCCCTTGTAATTGCATTTCTAGCAGACTTGGAGTCTAAAATAAAGAACTCAAGCATCAGCAGAAAGTCAAAACCATTTTTTTCCTCACTACCTTTTCAGTATACAAGCTGCAAATAAGTAGGTTTTTAAGAACATAAAAGAACTCTACCACATTTGCAAAATTAAAAGTAAAGAATGAAATAAAATGATGTATAGAATCATAGTATGCAGAAAAGTAAGACTGTGGTGTGCGTTAGTCTATCAAAACTCAGATAGAATAACGCTTCTAGTAATCTTGTCTCTTAATATTCATGCAGGAACTTGGTTTATTCAGATTGAGTATGCAACTTCAACTTTGCTTTTTCATAATACTGTGTAATGTGTGGCCATAATTCACTCAATAAAACATGATTCTAGGGAAAGAAATTGAAAAGAAGGCATGGTATTATAGTTATTATATACTTTCAGAAAAGTTTACATGTCTTTTTAAACTATGCGCAGTTACTTAGGCAAGGTTTACCTGAAGTAGTGATAGTTATCAATATTAAAGTGAGGGATTCTTTTTTGCCCAAGGTGAGTGAGTCAGATGAATTTTTAAACACAATGTGATGTTAGCTTTTGATGGAAAATTCCAGTTTTATTATATGAATCTATTTGCAAAGGTACTCTCTTCACTGGTAGGGATACATTGTACTTCTAATGGTGTGAACTGTGCTTTACATGATAAAATATATGAGTACGTCAGTTATTGTAGTGTTTGTATGCAGGTCATTTTTCAGCATCTGCTTTTCAATAATGGCTTGCAATGAGAATGATTGTAGTAGCTTCACTTCAGTGGAACATCATGATTGATGCTATATCAAAGAGAACATGGAATCTCCTAATGACTTTAATAATGTCTATTTCTTTGTGGAATTTCTTTTCATTTTCTTAAAACAATGGGAACATTACTGATTGTATAACCTTATCCCCTGTCTTAGGTCTCCTAGAAACCCTGAACAGAAGATCATTAAACGAGTGATTGCTCTTGAAGGAGACATTATCAAGTAAGTGTTTTAAGCCATAGCATTTGAGTCTTTATAAGAATAGTGCAGCTTTTCAGTGGATTTTAAATTAGTATCCTAGACAACAAGAACTTTCTAGTATTTTCTGTCTCCTTTTAAAAGGGATGTCAGTGTTGTACCTGTCTCCTTTTTAATGAGAAAAGTGATACGCAATAATACTCACTCTTGTGAAATGTTTATGGGTGCAAATAATGCTTGTTTCTTAGAATATCTGTCACGTATCAGGACAGGTAATTGTACAGCATTTTTAAAATAAGAAGGCTATGATTTTTCAGTTAGAGAATTAGAGCTGCTGTTTCATACTGTGGTTGGCACACTTTCTAAGTTCTTTTAATCTTTTTGTTTGTTTTGGGGAAATCCTTTTGTTCTTACTTAATTTTTGAGACAAAGGACCCTCATAGATGACTGCTTTAACTGCAGTCTATGGGAATCTGTAGGGAATACAGTGGAACTGATTTGGAGTAAATTGTTCTATCAGAAGAGAAAAGAAAGCAAAAAAAGTAGACTTTAATGTAGGTCAAGTCTTGGTTTACTCTAACAGATAGACCATCCTACTGGGGCTGGTTGGAAATAAATTACAAATAGAAGCAAATCAGATGTTTTTGTGGAAATGGTGCCATTTTGATGAAAACATTTGTTTAAAAGGATTTAGTTTTCCCAAGTAGAGAATAGAATTGGCATTGAGTTTGGAGGGTAAATCGCTAGTTTCCCACATTAAGATATGAATAACTTTGAAAACTCTTAGGCAGTATGGCAGACTGGGACTCAGTTTATTTGGATAATAATTCTTGCTCTGACGTAGTGAATACTTAAGAAGTACTTGGAAGTTGAAATTCAAATCAAGGATCTGAGTGTGGCCTCAGTGAGCCCTGCTTAACAGCAACAATGTTGGGCTGTGTAGTATTATGAGATATGTCTGTGTCTTTTTTTATTATTATTATTTCTTTTTGCAGTCCATATGGTTTCTGTTTTATTGAAAAATTTCAAATCCTCTTAGTTTGAGCAGAAAATTCAAATATTTCATGTGGAAAAAAAGATTGAAATAGCAAATATTAAGAAAAAGAATCTGATGTCCAAAAACTATGAAGATCGACAGCTACAATTAGCTATCACATTAAAGGGATAAAAACATAGAAATAATGATTGCTACTTAGTTATGTCTTGTGAAAACCTACACCCTTAAGATAATAATATATTATTAATATATTTGCCTGAAATTTTTGATAATATGAAATATGTTTAATAACATAAATTTCAACTGTAGTAAATTTATTATGCTGTATATTCCAGAGCCTTAAAACTCTGAACTATCTGTTAACTTATGTGAGTGCTCTTGGCCAAGTGGAAAAAGATGTTGGAGCATAGTAGCTGTGAGAGTGCATGCAGAATATTTAAAAAACTGTATGTTAGTGTGTCACCTTCGATTACAGAAGACTGAGTGATGATCCTCATTTGTATTCGGAAAAAACAGGTTAATTTATTTTTAGAAATGTTGATACCAGTAATTCAAATATTTATATATATTTCTATTTAAACACATGGAAGTTGTCCCACAGTCTTTTGCTTCATCTGTAGAGGCTTGTTTTTAGATAAGGAATATATTATTGGGCTATTATAACTTGTTATACTGTTGTCCACTTGTGTGCATGTGGGAAATAAAGTAATGCTTGCGAGACATCATAGTGCCAGGATAAAGCAAAAATTTCGGTAATAAAATAGCAAAACTGTCAAGATTATTCTAAAATAGATGTTATTTTTCTAATGGTACCACAAGCAGGTGTGTGACTGGGATATTTTTGATTAAAACAGATGACTAATCAGACTAAGAAAACATAATTGTAAGAATTTGACTTCTGTTTGATATGTCTGAAGACAGTCTTGATGGTGATTATATACAGACTTGTGCAGTTGTACTTTTTCCCTGGAAGGTCAGTGAAATGTATGGTCTGTCTTTTTCTGCAAATTTTGATTGAAGTCTAATGACAGAATTAATTAATGCACACTTTCAGTGGTGAGTAGACTTTCATAGTGGAGAAATCCATGCAAATAATGATTTGGAAGGAATTTTCATTTAGCGCTCCACTAGATAGGTGATAGACAATATGGTTTGTGAGTCTTTGGTAGTGCTTTCATAGCTGAATGAATTCATTATTTTATCTGTTTGATGCATGATTAAGGATAATTTGTCACAAGAAAGCTGTGTTTTCTTACTCTATTAATTAAAATAAGTTAGTATTTACTATTCATTAATAACTGAAAGTAAAGAAAGACCACATAGAGCCATTAATATTGTGGAGAAGGTTCCTTGTATTTTGACTTATGTTCAGAAGTTAATAGTTCACAGTAGAAAAATTCAGTTTTTCAGTTCGTTTCTAAACGCATTATATAAATGAAGAAAGAAAAACTACATTTTGAAAATAATAAAGTTCAAGTTTTTGAAAATAAATTTAGGTGAGACATTGCGATGGGTTCATTCTGACCTTTCACTTTGTGTTTTTCAGAAATTATGTGCAACACAGTACTTCAGTTTTTGAAGTATATTATGATAGATTGAAAAATGGTACATATTTGTTGAGTAAGAATCCTGGCATTTCAATTCTCTGATCTTATTTCCAGTTTAGTTGGCAGTCCAATTGAAACGTATTGAGTACTGTCATGAAAATCCCTCAAATATCATAGTACATTTTTATAAATGTACATCTCATAATTTAATTTGAATAAGCTACTGTAACGTCCGCCTGATGGGAACTGAGAGAAAAGAAAATCACCATTTAGCCTTTGAGAGGTGAAGCTATAGGTCAGCTTGTATACAGATAATGTTGCAGTGTGGATCCCATAAATCAGGTTTTGTTTTGTCTTACATGGATTCATGGGAGAATTAACTTTAAGTAGGAAATCATTACAGTGATTCCTGAAGAGTATTTAAATTATAATTCTGCCAAGGGAAACTATATTTTAAAAGTTAATATAATGTAATTTGTTTAAAAAAAAAGTTGGTATTATAAAGCACTTTGAATATTTTGAAATTAAACATATTAAAACTCATTTATCTTAAATGCACCAGTGGAAATTCAAAAATCTATAGTAATCTATCATGGATGGCTGAGTTATGGTACGTTTTCAGTAACACAAATAAATGAGGGTTTATGGTATTAAAATTGGGATTGAACTAATAAAATTTAAAATTAAGTCAATTCAGCAACTTACTGAACTAATTTTGCCTCCATCTGGGTCCACGTCTGCAAGAGTTTGGATTCTGCTGCTTTACTGACTTTATTTTTTTCGTAACACTGTAGCTGGATTAGAAATGACCTGTGAGCCCCTAAAATGCATAATTCTAAAATCTTATTAGGCTATTTAGGAGTTAGTGTTTTAAATACTGAATGGTTCAGCAAAACAATGTTGCATTTTAGTGCTATATTTTGCAAAATTGTTCTGGAGATATGAATAAGGAGATATTTACTTGCTTTTTCTCAAAGCATGACAATGCAGAGATAGATCATTATATTATTGCGCCGTAGGTCCAAAATAAGTATCAGTATCTTTTTGAATTTTGCTATGAAGTGCATCATTAAATTGCAGAAACATTTGCCACAGAATATGAAGGATAAAAATATAAATGAGTTCAAAAAAGGAGTAACGAATTCTTAGAAATAAAGTCTATCAGCAGCTATTAAATGCAGTGATTACAGTATAAATTTATGTACTTCTATTGTCAAGTTCATGCACTTATTGGAGAAACCTTTCAGCTTCAAAGGAGCTGTTCACATCTCCATGCAGTTTTTGCGCTTGCTATTTTTTTTTTTTTTCTGAGAGATTATGTGTATTCCAGTATTCCTCAATTAGAAAAAAAATAATCTGTTTTTTTCTCTGATCTAGTTACATTTCATCAGACGGTTGCGACTATTCTTTGTTTTCACTAAGATGCAAGAATCACTGTCCAATAAAACAGATGTTTTCATGCAGATTTTCCCACTTGATAGATCATTCCTAAAAAAAACTGTCTGTGTCCTTGGAAACAGGATATCCTTCAGAAAACTAAAACTTTGTCTTTTGTGTTTGTGAGGGGATAACCTGCTGCAGATGAGCTCTGCAGAGGATCTGAGGGTTCTGGTGGACAACAGACTGGCCATGAGCCAGCAGTGTGCTCTTTTGGCCAAGAAGGCCAGTGATATCCTGGGATGCATTAAAAGAAGTGTGGCGATCAGGTCAAGGGAATTGATTCTCCCCCTCCTCACTGGTCAGGCTACATTTTGACTACTGTGTCTGGTTCTGGGTTCCCCAGTTCAAAAAAGATATGCATCCCCTAGGAGTCCAGCAGAGGGCTTCCAAGATGATGAAGGGCCTGGAGCATCTCCCATATGAAGAAAGGAAGAGTAACCTGCGTCTGTTCAGCCTGGGGAAAAGAAGACTGAGAGAGGATCTGATAAATGTTTATAAATATCTAGGGGAAGGTAGGAGGCAAATGGATGAAGCCAGGATCTTCTAGGTGGTGTGTAGCACTAGGGCATGGAGTCTAAAACTTGTACAGAGGAAGTTCCATAGTAACATACTGAAGAACTTCTTTATGGTAAGGGTGACAGAGCACTGGAAGACATTGTGCCCAGAGAAGTTGTGGAGACTCCTCTCATGGAAATATTCAAGACCTGTCTAGATGCCTACCAATGTGACCTATTCACAGAATCACAGAATCACAGAATTGTAGGGGTTGGAAGGGACCTCCAGAGATCATCGAGTCCAACCCCCCTGCCAAAGCAGGTTCCCTACAGCAGGTCGCACAGGTAGGCATCCAGGCAGGTCTTGAACATCTCCAGAGAAGGAGACTCCACCACCTCCCTGGGCAGCCTGTTCCAGTGCTCCGTCACCTCACTGTAAAGAAGTTCTTGCGCATGTTTGTGCGGAACTTCCTGTGCTGCATTTTCCAGCCGTTTCCCCTTGTCCTGTCTCCACTCACCACTGAAAACAGTCTGGCCTCTGGTATT